CCTCAGCTACTGCCCTGAGGGCTCTCTGCCTTTCCTTCCCAGGACATGCCTCCTATAGAAAGATCCCTCTCTCCAGGCTGTGACATGAAGGATGAAGGGCTTGTTCACAGCCAGTGGGCTGCAGACACAGGGATAATTACAACACCCCTTCACTGATTGTACTTAGAATTTCAAGTTTTCCTAAATTTTACATGATAGGCTGTAGTGTCCTTTTCTGCAAAACACATCAGAGCATCTTAGTTTTTACTGCTGAAGTTATTTCCTGCATTCCCCACAGTATTTCCTAGTCATATTTAGTGTACAGCAAAGAAATTCCATTTTTTATCTTTCTTTTTCCTGTATTACATGGAAATTTTAAAGACCACTGTATATTCTGCTTGACAGGTCTTACGATCTTTACTCTCTTAAGAGCAACCTCTGTCCTTGTTAACACTGAAATTCATAGAGCTGTTGGTGCCACTGTCCAATGCTGCTGAGCAGAACTGAGTGCTTCCCATTTGCAGGGCTAAACCTCCCAGGTTTTAGTGCTTTAACTGCTCTTTGAAACTGAGAGAGACCCACTGTTAATACTGCTGATGACAAACGGTCACCCTGTGTAAGGAAACGTGGCTCATGCCTCTTCTTGACCTTCTGCACACACAGCCAGCCCCACAGGAGCTCAAAGGTCTGCCCTCCTGAGCAGTAAGTCTGTGATGCTGTCCTGGCACAGCAGGAGACACTGTATGCCAGAGCTCAGGAGGGCTTGGAGAAGAAAACACCCACACCTGTACCGAGGTACTCAAGGATGTTTAACACTTGCTGTGAAGGGTTGTGTGTGTGTTAACTATGTTACACTTGGCCTTGAAAGAGGTAACAGAAGAGTCCCGTGAAAGAGAGCTTGATCCGTTTTTTTCTTTCCTTGATTTCAGTTGCAGTAATATGGTTACATTTTCTTTTTGACGACTTCAGTTATATTGAAAAATAACTGGTCGTATTTTACGGCACTTTCTCTAACTTACAAAACCCATGTCTTAACGTGACTCCATTTAATATTTCTCCTCTTTGCTACATGCTTTATTAAAACATCCATCTGGTAAGCCATTTTTGTCTCCTGTCTTTTAAAGCTACTTTTAAAAATCCAAATTTAACATCAAATGTGCAGCAACTTTATTCAGCTGACACAGGAAAATGGCAGAACACATTTTTTACCACTTTCTGATGTTTGCTTACTATTCTAGGGGCTAATATTTTTTTACACTAGTTAGAAGAATTTGGGATGCTATTAAATTGTTTCCTAATTTTTGCACAGCTAAAGGTATAACAACAACCAAACATTAAACTTGTAATTTAAAATGTTTACTATTTAAATACTGCACTAAAAGATGGAACAAAATTGAAATTATCAGTAATTTCAGCTAAACACCATGCATGTCCTGTGAGAAGAATGGACGACATGAAAAAATCCACAGCTTCAAATAGGAAAAAAATCTTTAATTTGAAAACAGCTTCTAGGAACTACAGGTAATGGTCTCTGTCTGTGTACTTACAACAGACTCAATAGTCTTCATATATGGCAATGAAAACTACATCTATTCTCTGGCAAAAGGGGCCTTAATGGACATTTAGGCCCCACATTTCCTTGCCTGTATGACCAAACTCTTCTTCCAACATGTGTGCTCAAGATATAGTGCATTATTCCCATATGAAAAAGGAGTCAAAAATGCTTCCCAAAATTTACATATGGGAACGTCCAAGGCCTTATTTTAGAACTTAAAGTGACTGAAAGTTTGATTTACAATTCAACTGGATTAATTTCAGGAGAAACAGTTTTAGACTAGCTTCAAAATGAAAATGAGAGAAAGTATTTAATTGCTTTCCTTTTCTCAAATTCTCTGTACTGCTAACACTTGCATATCAGATCATGTTAAAATTATAAACTCACTTTCATCACATGACTTTGCAATGTAATAAATAAAGCTTTTAATGTTATGAATGAAACTGTGCAACTTTTGAATCAGTTATATGACATTGACATATATGACATATATGACACCTAAACCTTTCCATAAATTATTTGTCAAATTCTCTATTGCTGTGAGCCTCCAAAAGTTTGTTCAGTCAAATCTGAACTTCATAAATTAAACTACTGTGAGATCTTACATGGTCATTGTTTAGTGTTTAAAAGAAGTGATTATTATACAGTCCTCAATATGTGATATTAATTCCAAACCTTGTATCTATATATGTTTATTGAATTAAGAAAGATTGTTCACATGAGCAGGTTTTGAAAGTCCCACTCAACAACAGTAACAATCACCTGGATTGTGGAAAAGTCCCATCCTATAAATGACTTTTTATTTTGCATTTTTTCTTTTTAGAAGAATAAATGTGTAATTGAAATTGTATGCTGTCTCTGATAATGACACAACCAGTCATTTACAAATACTTTCTGAAACAATCAGTCTGATGGACACAGGGGACTGCCTGCAAGGACCACATTACAAGACATGACAGCATTTAAATGTAATGTTGATTGCACCGAAGTACCATTAATGTCAGCCATAGCTGACAGTACAAGCAGGCAACCCAATTTGTACTCACTGGTAGAATTCCAAATGGTATTTGATCAGGCTCTGAGAAAATAGAGATGGTTGAATAATAACAAATTTCCCAATACAGTAAACTAGCTAATTGATGATATGGAAGTATGTTTACCTATTTTAAACAAGTTTGTTAATTTAAAAAACAAGCAAAATAAATTTAAATTAATCTAGAAGTTCCTCTGACCTTGTGTAAGGCCTTTTCTTGCCAAACAGCATCAGTATAAAAACCCTCTTCAATGGACAGAAAATGGTGCTCTGCTGTCACCTCTTTTTCTTCAGCTCCACCTGACAGAGTTTCCTGGTCATGCTGGTTTTTTACCTGACAGTTGATTAAACACTTTCATCACCAGTGGCAAGAAAATATTACCACATTTATTAATTTTTAAAGTGCTCCATTGTGGGCACTACGACAATCTGAAATGGAGCAGCTGTCACCCCTTCATGCACAGGTACCTGGGTTCCACAGAGCTCTTTATACCTTTAAATTAGGAATGTCTCCTTTTGATGATGCACAATGGATATATAGCCTTGCCAAGTAAGAGAAGAGAAACTGTACTAAGTCAGAAACGTAACTGAAAGCAGGGCCCTGTTTTATTATCAAGGCAAAACTTTCATCAGAGTTGGAAGGTCTTAAGTTTCATTTGCACTCGAATAAATCAAAGTAGCTCCACTGAAAGTAGGGAAGTTGCATTTGATGTAATTACAGGATGGACTTGGATTAGAACTTGCCCATCGACTGCAGCTAATGTACTTAAGGCTTAAAGATACAACGAGTTGTATTATTTATAATATTTAAATCGATTTTGAGTAAGAGCCAGACAAAAGTATAACATAAATAGCACTGGGAATGGCAACTGGATGGATTGTTTTTCACTTTTCTCTGTGGATGAAACATAAAATAAACTGTTCAAAGCAGCTGGACTCTTTCACAGGGAAGTGAACACAAAGTGGACAAACACTGAAGAAAAAGTAAAGCAATATATGTCCCTAGGACTAGAAAACACTGCCCTTTCAGTGGCATTTTCACCTCCAAAAAAAAAAAAAAAAGGTGGCTGGAGCTATCCAGAGTTAGAAGGAGGTATCAAGTTCCTTCCTAGCCAAACTCAGATATCCTTTATCTGTTTAGTGAGTTGGGACTATTGAGAACATACTGCTTCACCTACAGCAGCAGATATTCTAGGAATTGCACAGTTTTACAAGTGAAAGTAATAAAATCAGACTGCAAGAAAAAGTGTATAATGCAGAAAGGGGAAAAAATGAAGAAAGCCAGCTGAATTTTTTTCAAAGGTGATCCAATACTCATTTTAATCTGAGCATTTTTACCATTCCTTTTAAAATCTGTGAGTTGAGCACCTCTGGCAGTCTGGATCTGTGAGGAGCCTAGTATTTTTCAAATATTGTTTGACAAATAAATGAATATTCATCCCCAAATACATATACCCTGGCTCTTCTGTATTTAAAACCCAAAAAATAACTAAATCTTATTTTTCAAGTTTCTTCCTTGTAGTCTGCTGTAAAGCATCATCAGTTTTTTTTAATGTTTTTTGTTTCTGTTATTATTATAGAGTAAAATAAGTCTACTAAAATTCTTCGAGACATACATACATCTCCCACCTCTTTCAAGTGTTCCAAGATCCTAACTGAGAAAACGTGAGAAAACTTTGTGGTTCTTCATCTTCTCAAGAAGTTCTAATTGCTGGTAGTATCTTACACAAATAAACACTAGAAACAGACTCCCACCCAAAGGAGTAGATTTCAAGCCAGGAAACTGAAGGTTCTGCTCTACATTGACACATTCGGGTAAAGGCTCGTCTGTCCGTGCTGAAGCCAGGGGTCAATGTCTGCCTTGAAGCCAGAACTACATTTTCACAATTCACACTGAAGCCTCTAAAGAAGTAAAAGGTGGGGAAAGTCTTTGCCGGAGAATAACAGGACACTGGCTGTATCACTACTAGGAATAGGTTTGAAAACACATACCATGTGGGCTGAGTGGGCATATGCAAAGGTGAAAATATATGCTTTTTTGAAAGCAATGATATTTTTTTCAGCAGCGGAGAGCCAGGGAACATTGAGACAGAAATTTAAGAACACCATCATTGGGATTGTCACAGGCATTTTTTTTTAAACTTTCTTCAGCAGGTTCCAAAACATGCTTTAGAAACACATGAAGCGCCTATCTCCCCTGCGAAATCCAGACCCCTGTCGTGCGATTGTAGTGCCCCTTTGGCCCCATCGGCCACCCAGGCGGGGCTTCCCCTCCCGCTTTCCCCGGCGGTCCCTGGGCACTCGCCCCGCGCACACCGCGGCGCTGCCGGCCGGGCCAGCCCGGGGGGCTGCGGCGGGAGGGGCGCCCCGGGGGGAGGCAGGGCCAGGCGACTGAGGGGCTCCTCGGGAAGGGGGAGCCTGCCCGGCTCCTACCTGGTAGGCGTCGGGAATGTTGACCGTCTCTCCGTGCTCCGCCACGTAGCCGATGATGCCCTTGCCCCAGGGCACCTGCACCTCGTTGCTGTCCTCGGTGGAGCCGCAGGGCAGCAGCGGGGTGCCGGCGTGCACGTCGAAGAACTTGGAGACCAGGGTCTTCTTGCCGGCGGAGGTCCCCTCCACGAGGAAGAGGGATCCCCGGTCCGCGTCCACCATGAGGCAGACGAAGATGAGGATCTTGTAGCTGAGGCTGGTGAGGTCCAGGTCATTGGAGATGTCCTTGACCAGTTCCAGGAAGAACTGGCGCTCGTTGTGCTCCTTGAGGTAGCGCTTGTAGTCCAGGGCGGAGGGGGGGTACTGGGGCAGGCTGACGCGGGACTCCAGCAGGGCGCTGAGGATGTGGGCGGTGGTGGGGGGCAAGGAGCTGGCCTTCCGCAGCAGCGCCCGTCGCCTCACGCTGCTCAGCGGCTCCTGCGCCCGGGCGTGCACATGCTCGTCGTAGGTGAGGTTGACGTGGATAGCCTTGGAGCGGGCGAAGCTCTTCCGCAGCTCCTTCTGGGACGCTCGGCGCTGCAGCCCCCCGGGGCCGGGGCCGCCCGCACTCCCCCATCCGCAGCCGGGGCCGTCGCTGCTCCGTCGCTCCTCCGATGGGCCGGCCGCGGGGACGGCAGGCGCTTTAGGGGGCGAGTTCTTCCTCTGCAGCCACTTCTCCACCAGCTCCGGGTGCCTCTCTAGGAAACTTTCCACCGCCGCCACGTCGAGGCCGGCATCGCCGGCGGCTGCCATGGTGCCGGCGGCGGCTCAGGCCGCGGGAGCTCCCGCGCTGGCCATGCTCGCCCGCCGCCACGTGCTTCTGCTGCCGCCCCGACGGCCGCCCCGGGGCACGGGGGATGCCGGCAGCCCCGGCGAGGAGCCGCTTCTGCCCCTTGCCCGGACCCTTCCTCAGCGGCGCTCCTTCTTCTCGCCTTCTGCTTTCCCCCGCGACCTCCTTTTCCTGCACACCACACTTTATTATTAGTAGTAGTAGTATTCGTATTTTTCTAGCTATTTTTTCCTGCTTTCCGGTTTTCAGCCTTTCTCCAGCTCTGGTCTCGGTTCCCGGTTCTGGGCCGCTCCCCTGGTGAGTCGGGCAGGCGGTGTCGCCGCGCCTCTGGAGATGCTCCGGGAGCGCTCGGGCAAACCCCTTCTGCCAAGTGCTGTCAGTGCTGGCGGCGGCTCCTGCGTAAGCCAGCCGGCAGACCACTGAGAAGGAGGGAGGGGAGGACGCGTGAGCCGAGCGGGGGGGCAGGCGGGGAGAGGGAGGGCTGGCGGGAGCGCTGGCAAGCCCCGCTGCGGGGGGGGGGGCACTGCCGCCCGCCTGGCAGCAGCCGCCTCGGCAGGGCGGGCTCCGGCAGTGGGGAGCTGTGCTGAGGAGTTTCATTCAACAACATTGGGGGGAAAGGAAGGGGCCTTTTGTTTGTGATGGTCGTTCGGGGAGGGGACGAACCTCTCCGCGGCTCCTGCCCGTGGTCCGCGGGAGAGGCGGCGGGAGGTAATGGGAGCGCTCCCGTTAAAGAGCTCTCATTTATACCGTTTTCTGAGCTGCTTCAGTACTTCAGGAGACAAGCAGAAAAACGGAGTCCTTCCAAGAATCCTGAGTGAATTCCCTTTTTTGAATCACTGAGTTGACTTGCGGGTGGCCTCACCCGTGCGGGGACCTGACTCTGGCCGGTTCCCGCGGGGTGTGAGGGGCACAGCGGGCTCTGTCGGCCCGGAGCCGCCCAGGGCTTTCCGCCGCAAGCCGCTGCTCCCCAGGGCAGCAGGGCGGGAGCGGGCGCGCCCAAGGCGCTCCTGGGTGTCCGTTCGGGCATCACCGGCTGCCAGACGGAAACAGACCGTATCCACCGCCCGCAGACGGACAAGGGTTATTTTTATGCGCACGTGGAGCACTTTTCATTGCTAAATCAATGCCTACGCATAAGCGATTGAAAAAACAAGTCATGGATCTTAACACGTGAAAATGTTTTTCATGCGCTCACCAAAGACTGAATGAAGGCGGCTTCAGAAATTCATGAATGGGAGTTCGGGTGGCTGGGAAAACACACGGGCAAATCTTCAACCAAACGAGATTCCCACCTGCCGGGGACCCTGTCCCTGCAGCAGCCCCTTACGGCGCAGGGTGCGGGCAGTGCTTGCAAGGAGAGGGAGCACTTTTGGGACACGTGTCGATAGCGCAGGCTGGTGCGCGGGTGCCAGGAGGGGAGGAAGGGTTACGCGTGTATCCCGGAGAACGGCCGCGTCTCCCGCGGCAGCAGGGGTGACCCTCAGGGGCCCCGTGCAGATGCTTCGGCTTGTGCAGCTCGGACACAGCTTAGGAAGCCACAAACAAAGGATTTCGGCTCCCGGTCTCGGAGCCCGCGCTGTTGCAGGTTGAGCAGCATTGCCCTCGCCGCCGCGGGTCCCGGGCCGCTGCGGCGGCAGGGCTTGCCCCCCGCTCTAGGTGGGGTTTCATACATCCCTCCTGCTCTCCCCGCAGGGATGCTGACGCAGGAGGACGGGCTCTCCATCCATTGAGAAACCCCGCCACCACCGCCACACATCGGCAATAGGGCAGCGGGGGCGGCGCGCGGGCAGCCGGGGCGGGGGGCGCAGTCCCTCGCTCGGGGGGCGGAGGAGGGAGCCCGGAGCCAGCCCGGCCCTGGGCGGTGCGCGGAGGCGGGGAAGGGTCGCTCCCGGCCGCCGCACCGTGCCCCGCCCGACTTGCGGAGGGCGCCCAGCTGCAGAACCCGCGGCGAGGGGGCTGCGGGGCGAGGGGGCGGAAAGCGGGGGGGGGGGGGGGGGGGTCGGAGGACACGCTCTAGGCGGTCCTCCCTGAGCTGCTCGCACCGCTAAAGAGGCCGATGCAGGTGGCTCGGGTATGACAAGGCAGCATATCTCGGCGAGGGCAAGGCTCTGTAAGCGTTTCCGAGTGCGCTGCCGGAGCTGTGACGCGAAGGGGTTTCAGCCCCTCGGGCTGAGCCGCCACTGGCTCCGGGCTCCGGGCTCGAGGCTCCGGGCTCGGGGCAGTAGCGCCGGGGGCGGCTCAGCGCGGCCCCGGGAGGCCGAGGGGACTCCGCGGCCGCCCCCGGCGCTACTGCCCCGAGCCCCAGCTGCATTTGCGGTGTTGCAGCGCTGGCACAAACACTCCACTTGCAAAAAGAAATCGCATGAGCTGCTGGAGGTTAGCCCAGCACATACACCCGGCTCTCAAGCGAAGACCTTGGGTGCGAATTAATTGTATGCAAATAATTTTTGCCATCTCACTGTGGAGAGGTTTGGTTTGAGCACGCACACCAGTGTTTACTACAAAATGGCTACTGTGTAGCAGTTCTGTATGTAAACACTTACAGCAACTTAGGGTTTCTGTAAGCCTGGGTATAAGCTAGGGCCTTCAAAGTCTTGCAGCATCTTTAGTTTATTTTGCTGGGGTTTTATACATAGGATTTGATTGCATCCGAAATCTGCATATTCACAATCTTAACAGTCAAGACTGAAGAAACTAAAACTGTAGTTGTTTCCATTGCATGAAATACATAGTGAAAAAATTACTGTAACAGTTTAATTGTAAAGAACTATGGAACCTGAAATCCATGTAAAAATGAAATGTGACAAGGATGATTTCTCTGGTTTGACTGTTCTGTAACTTGCAAAGGCTTTGGACATGTTGTCCGGATAAAACCTGGTTCAGAAGCCTGGCCTGGTGTGCATTGATTGATTTTAGGAGTACACCTACACTTTTAGGAGACTGGCGTCTCTACTCTGTCTGCAGAGCGAGTTAAACAAGCACAATGTACACTGGGCTGCAGCCTCATGTGTTGGCCTGAGATAGATTAGTTTCAGCCTTTTGTGGGAGGGCAAGAGTAGGAAAATGGATTTTGTCAATGCCATGGGGTTGTGCCACCACTGTAATTTTATGGGTATGCTACAGTGAGGTGTAAGCATCTGATGCTTCTGAGGTATGATGCACCATTTGTCAAAAGGGATGCACAATGCCAGCTTAGTGCAGGTTTCAGCCAGTTGCACCTGGTTTCCTTGGGTAGAACATACAAAAATGCCCTAAGATGCCCTAAAAGAATCACAAGGAGAAATGCCAGTGCATTTCTCAGGTGCAGTGTGTTTCTCTGTTCAGAAAGGCAGTGGAATAGCACTCCTCAAAATGCAATCAGGAAAACCACTTGAGAAAATTTTACCATTTGGGGAGATTCTTTATTACTCTGAACAGTCTGAAATGGGGAAGGAGTCCAGTAGAATCGGGGAGGATGGGAGCATAAATGATGTATAATATAAAATGCACAAGGTATACTTTGTTTCAGTTTAATAAGTAAAATATAAATCCTTTTTGCATCGTGAAGAGTTGCAGTTCTTTGCATCATTTCATATACAACTACTTACTACTTCTAAACTATGTGAATATCTTTGTAATTCCAATATTCAGAAGATCCAAATTTAATTTCATAATTTTTTAAAATAAGCATGAGATTAACATGGAATTCCTCAAGGCTGTACTCCATTTAAGGGCATTAGAAAAAGGGCTATCAACAGCCAGTTCCTGGCTTCTTGACAGAAGTTGAAAAACCATTATTTTTTCCTTCCAAACCTGCTAAAACCTGTCTCTTCCAACAGAAGCCTGCTCTTGTACTGAAGACTACTGAAATACCTGTAATGACATATTCACATTTCTCTTCTGTCCTCCAGAGCTAACTCTTCCCATTGTCTAAAGTGAATTTAGATATCAATTTGTTTGCCTTCTTTTGAAAACTTGTACTAACGTCTGTATGATTTGTTCACTACAGTTTCACTGTAAAAAATAGTTACTATATGCTGATGATATATTGAAGGAAATTCCAGTATAAAGTGAATGTCACAAAACGATTCCTAGAAATCACAGGGAAAAAGAAGCCACGCAACTCTAAAGCACTTTAGTAACCAGAAAAAACCCAAATCATGGGACACAGGACTGTATTTGTAATTATTGGCTTAATTCAATTAATATAATTTATATTCAGGTAATATGAAGAAAACCAATGAAACTCACACAGAATAATTTCCCTTTTAGATGTTCCACTGTTCATACTTTCTCTGTGAAAAGCACAAGGAAAACCAAAAGTCATAGCATACTAGTACGGGATGGTATTTAGTCAAGGAAAACAACTGCAGAACACCACGATGCCAGTAGAGGGTAGTGACCAGCAAACAAAATCTGAAAAGCTCTCCAGAATTAGAAATTAAAATCTGCCTATTGGAACTACGGTGTTCTGAGAAAGCTATAAACCTTCTGACCTGGTGTACTGAGTATTGGAAAATGTAGCAATATTTTAACACAGAGAGTGAGGGTTTTTGTTTCTGTAGAACTGTAGTTCAAATTCATCCGCAGTACTGCAAAGTCGACAGTTGTGATAGTAAATCCTTGTAAGGCTAGCACACCTCTACAGATAAACTTTTTTTTTTTTTAAATGTATGTCGCCTCAACCCCACTGCACCTTATATGTCACCTTTTAGTTTTGACTGTTTTTGTTTGGACCTGAGTAAGAAAATCCTGCAGCTTGTCCTGTTGTACAGCCAAATAAACCCCAAAGATTTGGTCCTGTCTTGTGCTTTCCATCTTTTCCAACAGTGTGGCACTGAGAATATTCCTGAATAGAGATCATGTTACTTTTTTCCACACAACCCGTTTAGATCTAAGGAAAAAGTACCATATGTTATCACGTCCTTTTGCTTGCCAACTGCATCTTCTTATATGAAAGAGGGGGGATTTCTGCATATTTAAATTGCTTGTGAGAAAGCAAGCGAAGGAAGGCGGCGCTCCCCTGCCGCAGGGCCGCGGGGCGGTGGCGGCGGAAGGGGCGGGCGAGCCGGATCGGCGGCGGAACAGGCGCCGCTGCCCTTCCTGCCCTGCCGGCTGCTGGGAGGCGGCTGCGGAGCTCGGCGGCCCCGCCATGGAGGAGAGCAGCGGTATCCGCCTCTCGGCCGAGTGCCTGGACGAGCCGCCCAACAGCCGCGTCTTCGTGGTGCTGGGCAAGGACACGGGCGAGGCGCTGATCCGGGAGCGCTTCTCGCCCTTCGGGGACATCCAGAACATCTGGCTGCTGCGGGACAGGCGCACCAACGAGTCCCGCGGCATCGCCTTCATCAAGTTCGCCCGCAGCTCGCAGGCCTGCCGGGCCATGGAGGAGATGCACGGCCGCAGCCTGCTCCCCGACAGCAAGCCCATCAAGGTGGGACCGGAGGAGCGCCGAGGGGCTCGGAGGGCGGCCCGTGGGCTCGGAGGGCCGGGCCGAGCCGAGCGGGGGCAGCGGGAGCGGTGGGCGGGCGCAGGCCGGCCTTGCCCGGCCTTGCGTGGGCGCGCTGCCGGGACAGGCCCGGCCCCTCCGGGCCGTCCACCCGCGGCTCTGGGGAGGAGCGGCGGGGCCCGTCCGCTCCCCGAGATCCCACGCGTGGCGTGAGCTGCAGCAGGCCTGCGGAAAATGCCACACCCGGAAGCGGAGGGTTGTTTGCGACAAAGATTCTTCTGTGTGTTTTAGTTCTTGTATGTTTTATATGTTTTAGGTGTTGTGAGCAAGATAGTTGTGAAATTTAGAACTGGCTTTGCCAGTATGTTTTATATTGGTTTTGTAGCTTGTGAACCCTTTAAAAAACTTTTTTTAAAATTTTTATTTTAATCTATGGAACTGTTCTGTCAGCTTTCAGCTTCCCGATTTGTTTTCCTATTCACCAAGTACTAAGAAAGTATGAGTGAGTTTGAAGAGTGAAAGAAGATGCCATGTGTTTCACTTGACAGTGAAATTGAGTCAGCGAAATTTTTCTGAAGAACTTGCCATCAGAAGCCAAAAGATCTGAGTTGTAGTCCTCACACCCTTGCATGGGTGTTAGAAAAATAAGTTAAGAGCTCTGTGAAACCAGTTGCTAGTTTTGCTTAAGAGGCTTGGTTTGAAAGTTGTGTCTTTCTTACTTGGTTGTTTTTGTTTTGTTTCATTTTTTTTGTTTGTGATGTATTTGGGCTTTTTTTTCTTGGTTGTCTTCTGGTATGCACTTCTGAGGTGAAATTTATTTCAATAACTAAAAAAGACTTTAAGAGTAACAGATACGAGAAGTTATGATCCTTCACAGAGCACTAGATCCGTAAACTTTGGCCCAGCTAAGCAGTGAACTGCAGTAGCACGGTTTTCTTAATCTGCTAGGCTTTCTTGGTTGCTTATTTGTTTCTATTACTGCTGTACTAGGCCTGTTAGAGCAATGCATTCTTTGCCACCTCACCTGTCACTGGTGATGTTGACAGTGCTGCTGAATCAGCAGTGGTATTTCTCACCATTCCTCATTATCCCCAGTAAGTAACTTCTCTGGCCCCTGTCCAGTTTGGGAAACTGTTTGAGATTTATCACTGTAGGTCTTACAGGACAGTACAGGTAGGATTTATATTTGTAGGACTTTTATCACAGATGTTCCTTTCTCTCCATGCTAAGGAGGGCAGCTTATGTGAACCATAAATACAAAGATAGTTAAACTATTTCACTTGCTTGTTGATAAGTGTCTTAGACCTTTTTGCCAGTAATTAGTGTCTATGTAATTATTTTGTTAGGTGTTTATTGCACAGTCAAGAGCTTCTGGAAGCCACCGAGATGTTGAAGATGAGGAGCTTACACGAATCTTTGTTATGATACCAAAAACCTACACGGAGGAGGATCTGCGAGAGAAGTTTAAGGTTCTGATTTGCTGTTCATTGTTATTTTAAAATGCCTTTTTCTAAATTAATTAGAAGGGGTTAGCACATGGAAATTTCATGGTTTTAAAATATATGAAATTAATAAGTTTTTTAATTGTTCTAGATGTATGGAGACATTGAATATTGCAGCATTATTAAAAACAAGACTACTGGAGAAAGTAAAGGTTTGGGCTATGTCAGGTACCTGAAGCCGTCGCAAGCTGCCCGAGCAATTGAAGAGTGTGATCGAAGTAAGAATCTGAGTGAATTCTTTAAGCGTTTTTTTTTTTTTGCAATAAGTGTGTATCATCATAGTATACCTTTAATTTTCAGTTTTGTTTTCAGGTAAATTATTCATGATGCAGAAACATGTTGAGACAAGGTTCTGTTGAAAATAAATAATAGCATTGCTAACATTCAGTGAGAACAATCACCTGATTATGTTTTTTTAGTACCAAACTGCAAGTAGGATCAGTGAGAAGAGTTTGGAAATGAACACAGAATTTTCTTTTATGCATTTTTGGTCTGTAGTGTAGGCTTGATACACAGGAAAATATTTTAATTTGTCCTTGCAAATAGGCAGTTTTAATTTGTATTTGACATAAAATTAATTTTTAGATAAAACATATTTCATGATACATAGAGATTCTGTTGTAATTACATTTATTTAAGAGCAAATTTATGCTAACTGAAATTGGGGGAAGGGTGCTTGATCTTGTTTAGTGTCATGGTTTATCTGTTACAGAGTGAAAGACTTTGTATGCTTTATTTATTACCAGCCACTTGGTGAGGCCCTGGCACAGGTTACCCACAGAAGTTGTGGATGTCCCATCCTTGGAAGTGTTCCAGGCCAGTTGGATAGAGAAATTCTGAGAAACCTAGTGTAGTGGAAGGTGTCCCTGCCCAAGGCGGGGGGCTGGAACTTGGTGATCTGTAAGTTTCCTTCTAACCCAAACCATTCTGTGATTCTATAACTTGTCTCTTATGCTCTAGTACAAAAAGTTAATGAATTTGATTGAGGCTGGTGGAAAGTCAGAGGCTGGAAACACAAGACTTTGGAGGAAAGACAGAGGGAATTGGGTATGCTCATCCAGGAGAAGAAAGGTTTCCCCAAAAGCCTCACAGCAGTCTTCCGGTCCAACCTCCTGTTCAATATTGCTTAGTCACAAATATGAAACAGCTTGGGGTGTGGTGGGTTGTAGTTCTAGTTATTTTTATGGCTTTGTTTGGTTCTTTTTTCTTCAGTAATGTGGTGGTTCTGTGTTATTTCTATCATAAGTGGTTCTACAGGAATTATATTTGTGCATAGGAACATGAGCCTGAGATTACTTAGCAGTCAACTTTTATTTCCTCTTTGCTGTGAGGTTAAAATGAAATTAGTTGGATAGCTTGAGTGTAATACTGCTTTCTTTCATGAAAGCAAAACCTAGATCCGTGTAAAACATCCATAAATTACTGTGTTAGCACAGCAGTTCAGGTGATGGCTTCTGGAGCATCTCAAAATCTTGCTAAGTATCACAGAGTGGTTGAAGTTGGAAGGAACCTCTGCAGATCATCTTGCTCAACCATTTGGCTCAAGCAGGGTCACCTGGGTACTGATGGCCCAGGAGCATGTCCAGGTGACTTTTGAATATCCTCATGCATGGAGATTCCATAGACTTTCTGGGCAACCTGTGCCAGTGCTCAGTCACTCTCATGGCAGTTAGCTTCTGTTGTGTTTAACTTGGGAGTAGGAGTAATTCCATTTGAAAGCTGTTAACGTTCACAAAATTATTTGGGCAGACTTCAGGAGTTATAATTTAGTTATTTCTCTAAAGCCAGCACTTACTGGGTTTTCTGAATAATATGTTTCTAAATATGGAACTTGGAGAATGTGGGCCTGGTCAGATAACTGAGATGTGCTGAGGTGTTGTTATGTGTGTGGTTGTTTCTTTCAGGCTACAGGGCCATTTTGGCTGAACCTAAAAATAAGTCATCTGAGTCTTTTGAACATGATTATTACAGTAATAGCATGAGGCCTGAACTAAGAGGAAATACGCTTCCATTTTGTAAGTCACAGCTTTTCACATTAAAAATTATTTGTAGTCTCCAGACTGGTCACTAAGTAATAATGTGATTTGGAGAAAGGGAGGCTGATGGAGGCTTAGGTCAACACTTAAATAGTAGATTGGATATTGAAGTTAGAAACTAGCCCAGTGTTTCATCTCTCTGCTTCTATGGCTTGCTTTGCTCTGGTTTCAATTAAATTGGGACCTGCACTGGTGAAATCAACATTTAGTAGTATATAATTGACTTGGATTAATTTTAAAAGTCGAATGCAACATATGCATGAAATGAAGGCATACAAGTATGATGACTCAAATTATTTTGTTAATTCTTGAGGTATGCAGCCAGAATTTTGTAGCTTTGAAAAAGCTGAGACCCGAATTCAAGAACCAGTCTCCAAACGCCTGTCAGTGGTATCCCGGCTCCCCTTTATTCAAGAACAGCTGTTCGCCCTCTTTGATTTAGTTCCAGGTCTGGAATATTGTGATGTTCAGAGAGACCCTCATACCAATAGCGGTAAGTAAAAAGTACAAAAGGTTTCTGTTGTTTTTTCTCTGAAGGGAATCTCTTGTAATTGTACTTCAATTAATTTGCACTGCAAAATACAGTACGCTTGCTGGAAACAAGCAGTGGTTGCTGCTAGCACTGCATACACACAAAATTCAGTTTTGTTTGAACCCGTGTTTACACATTGCCCTTAATGGCTTATACCTTTACTTTCAGATAATAAGATCTCAAGAAAAATGGAATCAAAGTCATGATAAGTGGGTTTTGGTCAAATTAATAGTTTGAGGCAGAATAAATGAAGAAGTTGTTTCAGAAATTATTAGACATTAAAGTAAAATGTTCTCTAAACAGATCTTCTGAATTTTTCATTCTGAAATGTGTGTAGATGTTGATGAATGAGATTAAATAGCTTCAAAATAGATCATGTTTTCTGTTGAAAGATTATTTGGTTTCAGTCTTGTTTTACTGCTGCTGAGACAAATATGGAAGTGGTCTCTTCTCTAAGAAACTGAAATGTAAATGATTATATTTTAATTTTACAGTTCTTGAAATTAGGTGTTGATGGGATAATTGCATTTTTAAAATTAAACTATTATCCTTTTGTTACTAGTTCTGGAGTAGTGAGGAAGACATGTTTTCACTTGCATGGTTTTACTGCCAACTTTTCAAGCTAGTATAAATACAGCTCATCTGGCACTAGTAAATTTCACTGAAGCTTGATGTGTGCTAAAAAGACTTAAGAATTTTGTGTCATCCATGACTGATGTGCAGTGTAAATATGTTATTTATATGAGTGTAGTTTATTCTGAAGATTTACCTGTTTCCTGCTGACGCTGTTTGCCCTGTGCTTGCAGGGTATGCTGTGATTCAGTACAGCACTGCTGCCTCAGCTATATATGCCAAATACAAACTGCATGGGTTTGAGTATCCTCCTGGAAATCGACTAACTGTCATTTTCCTAGAAGATGGGAATGATAGCTCAGAGTAAGTACAAAGTTGTAAGTTATGTTCTGGAGAGCAAAATATAAAGTAAACACATTTTTAACATAAGACGTAACGTCAGTATAACTGTGAGCTTGTCGGTAGTGTTTTCTGAAACTGCTTTGGGGTTTTCTTTCTGGATGGTTTACAATAAGCCTTTTGAAACTTGGTAGTCTTTGATAAAGAAAAGATTAAAATACATATTTTTAAGATACCATGGAAAAAATCTTGGGTTTGGGAAGAATCTGTCAACAGATCTGTAACATGTAACAAGGAATGTATTTTGGATGAGGTTTATGAATTAGAACCAGGTTTATGTACTTCATCTCTTGGTTATGTTTGCAGTAGTGCAAGTAGTAGTTTAGTGAAGCACATATGTAGAGTAAAACTTGTGGGTGCTGAGGATCTGATATCGGCACAGGATGGAGTATTCTCAGGTGTTTGACCATCTCTAACTTCTTCCTGTGTTTTGAATGCCCAGTACAAGTTGAGGCAGCTTAAGTACTCTCCTGCAGTGAGTGTTTTGCCTTGGTTTCATCCTAGAGGAGTCTAGTTTATGTCAAACCTGTTCTGGGAAATGAAGACAGTAAGGAGGGACAGTGGGGAGATTCACTACAAAAGTGCTTGGTTGATCTGAACTGAAACCAATGTTCATTGCAACCTTCATTCTTCACTGATTCCTACATGGTCTTACAACACAGGCAGTGTATCTAAGCAAAAAGAACATGAAAAAAAAGATGCTTCATCTTACTCTGCAACAGAACAAAATAAAATCACTGGAAAATGAGAGCCAGTAGTAAACTCTCTATGGTAATATTTTGATTTCTGAACTGAATCTCTGTGCTCTTTACTGAAAAAGGTGAATTTTTTTGTCCTTTTTGCTTTTTAGGCATTTCTCACAAAATGCAGTGGGCTCTTGTAGAGCTAATTTAATGGTTTTTTTTTTCCCCCTAGAGTGTTAAAAAACCCAAAGGGTAGTTTTGTGTATCTATAAGTGGTAATGAATGAATGAATGCTCTCAGTGAGTTGCAGCTAGTGTGCAGGCTTTCAGATCTCTCTATAGGCTGTCATGAAAGCCTGTCTTGATTTTCGTTATCTCCATGGCATGACAGATTTCTAGAGATACTCGGATGTGTATTAAGACATACTTTTACTTTCTAAATTTAAGATTAATGTAATCTTAATTAATCTAATAATCTAATTTGTAATCTAATTCTTTAAAGTAGTTTATTATGACTTCTGCTTGCAGCCTTATCAGGAAAATGGCAGCGCAGCTGGTGACAGCCCAGGTGTCGTCAGTGTTGCGCAGTAACAGCGCAATGGTTCAGCAGTACAGGTCGCCTCCTGTAAGTTCAAATCATGGATGGTGTCGGTTCTGAATTCTTGTAAGAAACTTCACATGTACCAATAAAGAACACTGCTCACTTGCTTCTGCAAACTGTTCTACGTGCTCCATTTTTAAGACATACCTCGGGTTGGTTGGTGCATTTTTCTTCCCTGAAAAGGCGTCTGACCTTACTTGAATTTATTGTCCAATTTAATGAAATAACTGAAGTAAATAAAGTAACGAAGATCAGAACTCACAGGACCTATTTATGTCCTGTGATGGAAGAAAAATGGTAAGAAAGGTAAAATTACTTCCTCTGCCCCCCACCACCAGTTAACTTATACTTGCATTTTTTTCCCCTTGTTTCAGCAAGTATTTGGAGGAACTTCGGGGCCACAGCTGCTGCAGCCCCAAACAGATGCCATACTTCCACCACCCAAAAAAAAAGTTCCACCTGACACTTCTGTGAAGGAAAGGCTTTTCATACTTTTTCATCCCCATCCTTTACCTGTAAATGTACTGGAGGATGTGTTCTGGTAAGACTCTGTTTACAAATAAGTGTTCCCTAACAAAAAGGAAACAAACTATGAAATGTTGAAAGTAAATAATGAAAATAAAAAAAGAGGGCCTGAAAACTCTTTTGAGAAAAGGCAGTGCACAGTGACCAGTAAGTCATGAGTGAACAGTATGTAACAGCTACTTTTGGAAAGAAGAATGTAATGGGATTTACATTGAAGCATAGTTGAAGTACCATCAGTATAGCAGCTTAATTATCAATTAACTTAATCTGAAGTAAAATGTCTGGTCTTCTAATGTAGATTTTTAACCAAAGAATGTAGTACTTCCAGTTATTATTTCCTAATTCATTTTGCATTTTCTTTTATATATTTTTGTAAGGCATTTAACTATTTTGATAAATTTCTACAGTAACCTAGGGGGAACAAGTGTAGGGTGTTGGTTTTTTTCTGATATTTAGATCTGATATTTATAGTAATGGTTTGCATCCTACTAACACTATTTCAACTGTTCTTTCTATCTCCCTGTATGGAACAAAGAACTGAGACAATTTTTGCCATCTTTAAAGAAATCTATAATTGGCAATAATATAAAGTATTTTGTATTATTAATTTTTAGTATACGCTTGAAAAAAAGGAGACATTTACCTTTTCTAATAGCTTGAATTTGCAATAAATCTTTGGAAAGCCGAAATATTTTAAAAGCACCAGGAGAGGAAAACATTTTGTGGGAAACTTTGTGTGAAATTCAAAGTTGTACCTATTTGATACAGTGGATTTTCTTAGTCAAATACTGGAGGAGGAAAAGACTATGGACACGAGTCTTGACACTTCAGTATAACTTCAATAAGAAGCAAGCAGACTATTTTTTAAAAATAATTAGGGATCTGTGTAGGAATCTCCTGAGTACTTGGAAATCTCTAATTTTCCCTGAAGCTGTAGTGCTTGCTTTCTGAGTCATTGCAGTCAGACCTTTTCAAAGATAAATGAACTTGCTCAGTTGTGATTTAAGTGAGATGCAGATTTAGCTTCTAATTTATCTGCTGGCTTGGGTGTGTATGTCTTACTTTCGGTTGCTTTGGGGTTTTTTCTTCTTTAGGTTTTTGTGGAGTGTTTTGAGTGCCATTTAGTGTTTGGGGACTGCAGTATCAATCAGCTTTATGTGTTCTTTTAAATAAGAGAGAAATCACTGGTATTTGTGATATATATCATAATATTTAATAGAAAACATCTGTGAACTTTTAGTGTTCATTCGTGCTTCTACCTATAATTCAGAGAAGGGACTATGCAAATTGGGAGCATAGATATAAAAATACTGATTTTGCAATTAACAAATCATATATCCTTCAGATTGGAAGTGTTGCAGGAAAATCTGTAAATTACCTTTTCTTTTCCCCCTCCCCACCAGTCGTTTTGGACAGTTGATAAGTGTTTATCTTGTGGCTGGAAAAAATGTGGGCTATGCCAAATTTGCAGACAGAGCAAGTGCCAGCGAGGCCATAACTGCATTACATGGCAAGATTGTGAATGGTGTGAGGCTGAAGGTGAGGTTGGCAGACTCGCCCTCGGAGGAGCCCAACAAGCGCCAGAGAACTTACTGAGCAGGTGAGTACCCCGCCCAGCCTGAGCTCTTAACCCTGAAAGTGTCCAGCTACCTGAAATGGGGACAGGCAAAGATTTTGAAGTTAGATACAAACATCCAATGATAAACTATAAATCTATTCTTAGCTAGCAAATTGAAGTAGATTTTTTGATATATCTGTGTGTGTATACACATACCTATATATATAAATATATATATGGGTGTGTGTATGTTGATATATACACACTTGCACTTTATAGAAATCAAAGTTTTATAATTCTTGAGAAAAAATTAACCAGTTGATAAAAGTCAATCTGGATGTTCATAGAAATATCACTTTTGTACTTGGGAGAATCAGTTGACTTTGAAAAGAATGTGCAGAAATAAACAATGAAACAGACATAAGCTTGTGTGTGTCTTTTTTTCATTACAATCACGTGCCCTCAGTGGCATTGGTTAAAGATGAAAAGTTGAGCCCTTGAAGGGCAGAGGAGTGAAGGGGTAAATAAAAATGGATGTGGGAGGACAGGTAAGATTATTAGGGGAAAACAAAGGTTTGGGGTATTTGGGTCATCTCTGATCTCAGAAATCGGGTGTAGCTGAAATATGTGTTAGCAGAGAAAATATAGCAGAGCCTGTGGTGGAGGAATTGAGAGATGTGTTTGAGATAATTAGGTTGAGAACTTTATTATTTGATGTTAATGGCCTGTGGAAGCTGGCTAAACTAGAGATGTTTTGTGTCTTACTGACTTCAGGGACCAAAATTCATTTTTTCTTTTAAAACATTGCTGTGCTTCAAATTATATTGAATTTCATCATATTTTAAAATTATTTTTTTCAGCATTAGGACTATTGCCAAAGGAGAATATAGCTGGGGGAGAAAAGCCTAAGCCCTATATTCTACAAAATAACTCTCATATATTACTATAGCTTCCAGATATTTCCAGTACCATACTATCTTCTTAGGGGACATGAAGTTTTGATTTAACCAATTCAGAAATCATCACATGTCTGTCTTTGCATCAGTATTTTCCCTCTAAGCTTCACTCTTTGTACCTTTCTTTGTATAGATGTTCTTTGTGACCCCAGAGTTGCAAAGACCAAAAAAACCTTTTGCCCAAAATGTTCTTTTTCTCCTTTCCTTCTAAGGACCTCTATGTTTCTCTTTTGATAAGCAGCAGATACTAAATGTGGCCTTAGTTTTTATACACAAGTTTTGTTTTAATAAATTGGATTTCTAGGCATTCCTTTTCTGCATGGAATTATAGCTAAATCTAAATTGAATTTTTTTTTTTTAATCAGCAACTCTGTTGAAGGCAATTTTAAGTAACTTGTACCCATGCTCTTACCTTTGTACACCATTTTGTTTGTTTTTAATGTGACTTGCTTTCAGCGATAAAAGCCCAGCCTCTGTGTCTCTACAGAAATAACTATGATGTGAAGGGTAATACAATACTGGGTCTACCTTGTGTGCTTTTTACTGGAGAAGTGTAAATACAACATACATCCAAAATAAGAAAAATTATTTATCCCCACTTTTTCTGTACACCAGGTTCCTGGTTCCAAGCTTCTTAGCAGGTTGTCTTGGCACCTATCTCTTTTCAAGATAGACAGAATTACTGTTCATTTGTCCTTGAGTTGGTTTCTCAAATTCAAATATAGTGGTACCTAAAAGGAAAGATGGCTCTTCAAAAGGGCTTGACCGTGTAAGTGATTTTCTCACTGCCTGACTTTGTGCTGGACTGACTGACAAGCTTTGCAGTAATTTGGAGGCTTATATTTTGCTTTCAATTAAAGTGTTAAATTGTGCATGTGAAAAGAGATGCCATTCTCTCTACCTCTGAAATAGTTGTGGGGTTTTTTTTTAAGATGTGAGAATACTAACTTTTTTCATTTTGAAATTTAGCTGTAGGAACTAACCTTCCTAGCTAAAACTAATGGGAATTTTCACTTAAGGAAATCATTGCCTCTTAATAAAAAAATCCTTTCTGAAGTCCTGTTGTACTGCTTGCCTTTTGTCTCTAACAAGGTGACTGGATTTCTGAAATAGTCTTTTCTATACAAGGTTTTCTGGTGAAAATTCATTATAAGACCTGTGAATTCTAGAATATATATGAAAATAAATGCCATTCAGTGGAATAATTAAGTAAAATATTTATTTTTTTAACACATTTGAAGTTCTGCCCCAGCACCTTCTTATGTAAATAGTCTTTTTTAAAATACAATTTACAAAATTGTTTCTTAAAAAAGGCTGTATGGTAACAGTATGCTACTCATAATGCTTTTGCAATGCAAATTTCTGACTAACTTTTTGTTACCTTGCAACAAACATTGTTTATCATGCAGATTTGAATAGACATCTCTTAATATTCTGAACTAATCCAGCTAATGACTTCTACAGGCTCTGATTCTCTTACAAATCAATGAAAATTCAATTGTTTATGTGAATAGTTAAAAGTAGCAGAGAAAAGATGGAAATACAGACCAGTAGGGTTCTCTTCACCACTTTAAGTGCTTATGTAAATTTTTTGGCGTTTGAAGTTATCCCCTTTTATGCTAAGTAAGTATTAATGGCTGAAATAATCATTTCAAGCTATCTTGCTTTAAATCAGTGTAGGCTTGAGAATGTATCTACAAGGTCTACTTCTAGGCAGTTGTTAGAAGCAGACCTACCTTAAAAATCTTGCTGTTGACCAGCTTGTGTTCTTCACTCCAGGCTTTGTGTTGCTTTGGGTATTTTGTGAAAAGCTCACTGCAGTGTCTGATGGCAAACATACACGTTGTGTCATTCAAAAATAGAAGAGGAAGGAAAGCATTTGCTATCTGTCAGAAGAATGCACTGTGGCATTCCAATTAATCTCTTCCTTGCTGCCTAGTAGTTCTATTTAAATACCACCCCCATCCCTGGAAACCCTCCCCTCCCCAGTCTACTAAACAAGAGACCCACAAGCAAACAAAACAAAAAACCCAAACCCACCCAAAATGTCTTTCATAAAGCTTTCAAATAGTCCTTAGAAAGCAGAGTGTCTAACCAGTGTTGTGTTAGAAATGCCGGACATAGCCATGTGGAACTAAGTTCTGTGGCTTTTAATACTCATTTCTGATTGACTTCAACCCACAGCAGATGCATTAATTGCATTTTTCCCATGCTGATAAAACTTGAGTGTTGTAAATAATTATTTAGTTACTGACTAAATTGAAAAAACCATTTATTCTGTCATAAAGTACTTGGTTATTGCTGTCTTTGGTTATTCTTGTCCGGAAGAAGTCCTTCATCACCAGTTTAATTTGCGTTCATTTTTTGGACTTAAACCTTTATTAAAATCCTGATGTTAATATGTATATATTTTAATGATATATTGCTCTGCATAAATGTTTTTAAAAATTAATTGTATCATAGTTGTGATATACATTGAAAAAAATAACTGTATTTTGTATCAAATGCAGAAAAAATGCCAGAAAGAGGCGCTTCTATAAAAGTTAGAGAAGCATGCCTAAAACTTAAATATCATCCTTCTAAAGACATTGAAAGCCTTATTTATATGCTGATGTAATGATTACATTTTATAATATGTACTTTAAAATAAAAATAGGTATGTTGCTTTTTGATACTATTTTTGTACTTGTGTTTTTTCTACAGAAACTAAGTAATGACATGATCCTCAGCTAGCTGACTGACTGACTGAAAACGTGACTAGACATGCTTCCTGTGGACAGTGACAGCTTTTTTCAGTGACAACTTTTTTTTTTCTTAATTGTTACTTAGTTAATCCATGATCCTTTTTCTTTCTGAATATGCAGACGTGCAGTTTTGAAAATTATATAGGCATTGAAAACTGTAAACTGGTGGTTGTTCTTGTAATAGTACATAACCTTGTATTACAGAAATAGCTCTTGTTTTTACCTGAATCCTTCCTATAAGATGGAATTTACAATGATGGAGAAAATAAAGAAGCCAGCATTTTCTGACTTGACTGGTTAATTGATAATGATTCAGATTCTGTTAAAATAGAAGACATCTCTCATGATCCAAATTGCATTGAACAGTGAAGTACAGCAGTAAATTCAAAGAAAATGAAGTAACTCTAACAATGCTAGCAGACATGACAGTATTAATCTAGATTTAAGAAAATAGCTGTAAAAGTACATTATTAAATACTTTGTTGCTTTGGGCCAAAATTATTCGTTATGCTGTTTAGTGAAATGAATCTTTGACTTTTAGACTACCAAAACTTTATGCTTTCTTATCCTGAGGTCTGTTGGCTATAACTGTGGAGTCTAGGGCTATGGGTTTATTTTTGTTAGTTTTGAGGGGTTGGGATGTTTAGTTTGGGTTGTTTTTTTTTTCCAGAAGCTTTTAATGCATATGTTCAAGTAAGAGTTGGACAAGTCAAGTTTTCAGCAGGATGAAGACAGTTTTGGTGCTGATGAAGATTAAATAAAGATAGTTCGAATAAGTACGTTCACAGATAATTTTCAACTGCCATTACTTTTCCATGTATTCCTGTATATTACTTGTTGAATTGGAAATATCCTGGTTATTAAAATATGATATACAGATAAAATTGAGGAATTTTAGTTGTATGCACTCTAGAGGAGAAGCATGTCCTTGGGTGCTTCCTGCTTCCCAGCATCTCCCATACAGTTCCTTCATCAACTGGTTCAGAATTTTAAATTCAAAGTAACAAACCATGTATCTTAAAAAAACCATTTTTTAAAAAAGAATATTAGAGTTCAAATGGGAGCAAGTTGCAGAATAAAGGTTGCCTGAGAAACCTTGTCCTTCCCTCCATTCCAGTAGTACCTGTTAAAAAGCAGTCCTTGATGACTCACTAGCATTTCTTTTCCCCAGGTGCAGTTGTTTCATTAAGCACAAGAAACAGAATTGAATAAGGGCTGCATGGTTAACCAGGCTGTAAAATTTCTGCTTAATTTGGTGTAGCTGTTAGAAATCAGTGAAAAAACAGATTTATGTTTGAGCGTAGAGAACTGGATCCTGGCTCGGACTCTAGCCCAAAAGTTTGGTTGTAAGGAAGGTTGCCATTTCTCTTGTGTTCCCCTGAGAAAGTTCCAGTTTGGGTTGGTGTGTTGGGTTTTCTGTTTATTTGGTTGGTTTTGGTTGTTTGTTTTTTTCCCATCCTATCAATCCTGTTCTGTGAACATGGAGGGACACCATACTTGTACAGAGGGCCTGACACATGCTGCAGAACCTGTATGGTGTGGTGGATCTGCACAGTACCTGCTGAAATGCTGAGAATCCCTGTATAGGCAGCTGAAAAAACCCAACTTCTCATTTGTGTGGTAGAATTGGCCTCTTGATGAGTCTCCTGTGCCAAGATCCCCAATTTAGTTGGTAAGTTAAAACTTGGTCTGCTGTGAGAATGATCATTAGGTTCCTGTACTGGAAAACCTGTGTCACTCATAATTCCCTTTAATGCTGGTGAGTGAATTGACCAAAACTGCGTCTGACGTTTTTGGTGTGCTGTTTTGCAGTATCAGTGCTTTAATGGTGGCAAGTAGAATTTAGCGTGCTTACCTATAAGTGACTTAGATTCCAACTGTGTTCATCAGCTGTAGTTTCTGTTGGTGTTGAACAAGACTTTTGTACCTTTGAAAATGAGATAATAGAGATTTCACAAATCACACTAAATTATGTCCAGTAGAAATAATTTTATCTATTTATTGAGTCATAACCGCTTGGTCAGCAGAGGAACCTTGTTTGTGTAACTGCAGGAAGTTACTGATTTATGTTGCATGAATGTCTACATGAAGGTATTTTTGATCATGGAGTGAGAAAAGGCCATTCTCAAGAGGGCTGTGCATCCTGAATGAGATTTGTGAGTCGGAGTTCCCCTCATCCTGGGGCTCTTGAGACCTTTCTTTGGGGGCACAAACCTCTACTAGAGAAGCTCACATGGAGGCAGAGCCCTTTTTCTGACCCAAGGCACGCTGTCATGTTTTTTCTACGATGTCTACAAAGAGATCATCTAACCTCTGCAATACCAGGCACCTCCACTCTTTCAGTTACTGTGGCAGTAGGTGAGAGACAGAAGAATAATCAGATAGGAAGGGGAAGCTGCTGAAGGTGAGTACAGCATGTGATTATGTGCACAGCTTCAATTCAGGAAAACATATATTCTCACCATACCACTTTCCTGAACTTAAATTGTAATTGTTAAACATTCATTTAAAACTTCATCAAAGATTTTGGTCAAGTTTTCCACAGAATGTCAGACTGGAACAGCTGTTATAATGGTAAATTTTCTCCAAAGTAAAATGAATTAATGATAAATTAAATACTGATATTAGACTTTGATTTAATCTACTTTAATGGTGTACATCTGCCTGCTCCCATACCTTGATTCTTTTATTAGGAATTTTTCTTGAAATTCCACAGACCTTGGGAAGGTGGAGCTTCTTTCAACACGAAGTGTGGGATATCCAAATCCAATGTTAACATGCAATATCTAATACACAGTATCTGATACACAATATCTGCAAGACTTTATTAAGACTGAAGAGTTAACTTCTGATCAGACCCTACTCTATATTTAGAGAAAGTGTTTACACATCCTGAGCTTGGGAGTACAGAAGTTTCCTGGGAATTCTTCCAACTCTTCTGACCAAGTTCTGTCTTTGGAAAGTGCTAGTGAGTAAATTTTTCAGATGCCATTTTAAAAGATACAGGGCAATGTTAACAGGGTATGTGGACATCAAAACGATTGGAAATGCAAATATATGCTGGAAATATTTTCTAAGCTTGAAATTATAAGCACCTTCACAAATAAAATTGCAAGATGGCTGAAAGTTATTTTAAGTAGTGGAATGCTGACTATCCTCATGCTGGGCACACTAAATCCCCTTTCTAATATGTCTGTTACAGCTAAGGATAGCAGGAATGAAGTTATGTTTATCAGCAAAACAAAATGAAAGGCAATGACATGGGAATGCATGCAGTGCATGTTTTGACCCACTGATATTTTTACATTTTAATCAAGTGCACAAAATTCACTTCTATTCTGAATTCACTTCTTATAATAGTGCTGGGGGACATTAAAATTTCTTTCTTCTATGCCTTTCTTCTATGTGGTAACATACCAACTAAGCTACTTAAAATTATGGCCAGAAGTTTAGACATGGTTATGGATTATCCATAAACAGGTAATCACAATAAGTTTTACCCTTTGCCTGTTTAAAGACCAAGGATACAAAAATAGCCTCAATGCATTCATAATGTTCATAACAGCATTCTTGGAATTTTATCCTGGAGACCCTCTCAAACTCTTTGAAGCTGGGTAATCTCTGTTGCTTTGGAAAAATAAATTATTTAGGTAGTTCTCAGAGTGTGCAGAGGAAACTGTACCACTGTGACCCTTTTAAATCTATTCTAGTGGAGTTACTAAGAAAAAGTCCTTTAAATACTGAAGCTTGAAAGAACTGAGTCTAGAAAGCAGAGGGCTGGTAATAGCCAGCAGGGTTATAAGGACTGTAGTTACAACACTTCCAAGAAGAGATTTTTTTTCTCTGTTGTTTAAAATGTATAGCTTAAAGTCTTTACACTGCTTTGGTGTTGCATTCTACACAGTAAAGAAACTGTGCATTGTGCTGAAAATGAGACCGTGGGACTACTACCCACTGCTAAAATCAAGTGTGAAGCAAACTTTGCTTTATCTGTGAGTAGATATAGTTAACTATACTATCAGCCATATAGTTTGTTACTGTGAGATTGAACCACTCCAGCTGATTTATCATGTTTGCCTTTCAGAGATTCTTGGAGTTCTGACAAACTGCATTTCAGGTTTGCTTTTCAGGTTTCTGGTTTCTTTTATTTAATAGGGATAGTCTAAATAGAACTCTTGTAAATTATTATTACCTATGTAAGGGATTACCTGTAACTTCATCTTCATTAAATCATCTCTGGGTATTTCTGTTTCCCTTTGCAGTTTCTTCAGTGAGAAGACCTAATTTTCCTCTTTCCTTTGGGGATGTCCAAGAATAGTTTAGATTTTATTTTTTGTGATCATCTATGAATATGGAAAGTATTTTTGACATATTCTGTGCATATATTATGTTATTATGCTTCTCTTGCTATATACTGCCCCAGTCTTGTACGAAGGATAGTAGAAAATGGCACTGAAATGAAATCAGTGCATATGGACTGTCACTACAGAAACTGAACAAAATGTTGAAAAGGTAAAAACAGTTTTCCCAAATTCTCTTCAGGGGAATGGAAAAACACCCAAATGGAAAGATCAAGAACTAAGTGACTGCTTTCCAAGGAAGATGGGGAAAAGCAGGAGTATGCTTTCATATGTAGGGGTGCTGCTTTTCTCTGGTTTCTTACACCTAACTGTGCAGAAAGAAAAGAATAAACCATTTGGATGGCTGTACAGGACTGTGTAAAGGTCCATTTAAACTGATGTCCTGTTCTCTATGGTGCTGGGAAACTGATGTCAGGGAAAATGGCAGATAGAGTATCCTTTCTTGGGCAACTCTTAACAGGCAATGGGTAGGCACCTTTTCAGCAGGAACTGCAAAGGAAATTGTGCCTACAGCTGTCCTTCAATCATTTGTATAACTCCAGATTAAAAACCTCTGTCCCTTCAGCTTCACAGTTTAGTATGGAAGCAAGGCATCTGATTTAATAACACTCTGTATGAAAAAGTTTTTCCCTCTGCCTGATCATTTATTCAGTTTTCCTAAGGTGTTGTGTGATAGAAACCAGCACGTGATTGCTTACTGTCAGCCTCCTATGTATCATTGGGGTTTTGTAGATCCAACGACAATCCTTTCTCAGTTTGCTCTTCAGCTAGAAATTATCTCCTCACATATATGCACTCCCATACCTCTGCATATATTTTTTCAGCTGCACACATGTATTTTCTAGTTTCACATTATCATATGAAGGAACTGGATCTGTACACAGCATTCAAGTGCAAAGATATTTCCATGAGGAAATGATAATGAGCTTTCCTACTTTGTTTTCTGCTGATTTTGAAGCAATT